TCCACAAAAGAGTGAGTAGACTTCATGATTCTATTAAATTTCACCTATTGCTGATTCCAAAAGCCTTTACCCAACTGAGTTTTTTGATGCAGCTAACATTAATTTTTCATTCACTCTAAGACGCTACTTTTATTCGATGTAAGTAGGCTTCGAACAAATCGGAATTTTTTTATTATTAATAAGATTTAGAGCTGAGGTCGGATAGTTGGTCATTTTTACTTGACTCTTACGAAATCATGAGTTATTTAATTCAATTAATGTATCATCTTTTTCTCCCCTCGCCTCACTTTGGACGACAGTAATCTCGGCGGATACGGCGGTTGGGGCTTCGCCTCTCCCTGTGGCTCGTTCGCCGGTGGCTGTGGTGAGCCAGGCTGGGGCGGAGCTTGCGGTCCCTGTGGTCCCTGTGGTCCCAGTGGTCCTTGTGGTCCCTGTGGTCCCGCCGGCTATGGTTACGGCTATGGACTAAATGTGGGCTGTGGACCTAGGCTCTATAACTGCGGTCGCCCGACTTGGTAACTCGTGGACGACTGAGAAGCGAAGGTCGAGGCCGGAAGGTGAAAGATTGTCTGAAAACGAGGTGAGTAGAGATTGATGAAATCGCAAAGTTATGCAACGTTTATCCAATTTGTCTTTTTATGACAACTTTTTGCCTCGTATGAGGTTGAAAGTGGGCTCACGTGAACCGAGAATCTTGAAGTTGTTCTAGTCGTTGATCCGAAAAGTAAGTATATTTATTAAATAGGCACTTGAACAGGAAGTCTTTGTAGTATTCACACATGAGATTAGATCAGAAAACAGAAACTCATTCTCCAACCAAAAATATTTGATACGAGCATCCACAAAACTTAATAAGGCGAGAAAATGCTTCTGATGCTAAGGCACATACATTTATATTTATAAGAGGCGTGTACATGTATGTATGCATTTTGTTAAGTCATCATGACATCCTTCTTCAGATTGATTTAATAAAATGTTTGCTCTACCAGACGAATCCTGAACGCCAGCCTGTTTTGTGTCCATTTAAGGGATGAGATGGGCAAAATTAGTAAAATTAAAACTATTAAGGCAGTAGTATCACGTTTCGTTATGCTAAAAAAAGACACTTTCAAGCAGAAAGATTCATTTTTCAACGATAAAATTGCAACAGTAATGAGTAAATTTGCCAAAATATGAGTTGATATTTAATTTAATTTAATTTGCCAGACTGAAACCTATTAGATTTTAGATTATGAAAATTGCAAAATCAGGTTCTTTTAAATGCCCAGGCGAGGTATTTTTTTAATTTTTGAGCTAAAAATAAACCCCTATGAATGTGGGTTTAAATCATTTGGTGTGAGAGTGAGAAATTTTAGGTTGAGGCTTTTGTTGTTTTAGATGTTGGAATAGGTTTACTGTTAAAAATGGGTATATTTGATATTTTTTGAGGATCATCAATCTATTTTTTTTTGTCATATTTAAAATTTTTTATAGGATAAAGTATGGCCTTATAAAGTTTGTTAAATATGATAGAAACTTGTTTTTTTACTGCTTATAACATATTTAGATATGTGGGATATCTAGTTTCTTTAGATTTATAAGTTAACTTAAACTATTTGTTTTCAAAACAATAAATAAACCTCTAGGTTTTAAATTTTAAAAGGTTGAGTAAAATAATTCGGAAAAGCAAACAAAAAGGAAAATAACTGCACATTGGGGATCCAAAGTTACTAGTTTGTATTAATTTTCTGCCTATTAATGGTCCTATATTATTATGTAAAGTTAATTTTAAAATTTAATGAAGCTTAGGGAACTATGGCTTGCATTTATTCCCTCGTCTGACAAGAATTTTCCATTATAAAATGGAGATATGCTTTTTTTATTGTGATATTCACTCAGTCTGATTAACTAGATTACATTACGTCCGCGGCTAAGGGTAATTTTACTCCCATCCACATCTCTTCGTCATTCCTGCCTGATTTGGTACCGAGGCTGCATTCATGATGTGTGAATAAGGCCAATTATGGGACATAATTCTTAAGCAAAATATGTGGGCAGTTAGGACTGTTGAATTGGTTAGAAAATGTGGGTTTTGGTAAACTTTCTTGGATCAAGATTTCTCTATTTGAAGATGTCTGCCACAGGGACAAAGTTGAAATCTCGACATGTATGTCCTGTATTTAATTACAAAAACCTCCACCAAATCACGTGGATCCATTCGTTTAAGTGAAATTTAATGTAAAATAAGATAAAACTAGCTAACGATTTTTGAGATTCAGTTCCTTGACATAGTAGCTTTGTAGAAATATTTTGGTCTTATTTCTATGAGTAATTTTATACTGGAAAGTGATAGGCCAAGATTCTATGATTTACTATTTAACTCACATCCATCCTCCTTAAGTTTTAAGTGAGGCTAATGTACCAATCCATTTTCCACCATTATTATCAGAATTACATGCAAAACAACATGAATTTTTGACTTATATTTAGGGATATCTAAACATATCTCCTGACTTGGAATTTACTTTCCCTCTCCCCCACTTCATGAATTGTTAGTAAATTTCCCATTTTCTCTTTTTATCTTGGTCGAACATAGCAACTTCATGAATTTTTTCGTTGACTCTACATGCAAATTCCGGATATTCACCGATTCGCTGAAAATTGTATCAAAATTCAAGTTCTTAAGAGTGGAAAATAATAGTAACTTGGCTCCACCAGACAGCGGTTGCAAACATCTTGGTCGAGGCTTTTGTAATATTTTCCATAAATGATTTCGTCTGGTTGTAACATTGGTTGTGACTTTAGAACAGACGAGAATATCTCTAAGGGTGAGTCAGTTTGCAAATGCAAT